GTCCTATCTTCTTCAAACCTGCCTTTGGTTATACTAAAATTGAATACAAAACTACTTAGGTATGTATTCAAAAAAAATATCTAAATTAAAAGGTCGAAATTTTAACGAAAGATTTTTGAATGCTTCAAAATTTTGAAACTTGGATTTATACGGATTTTGTTAAAAAAATTAAAAATTAAAATTAATTATATTTTTATTATTCGAAATTTAATTATATGAAAAAATAAAATTTTCTACCTTGTCAAAATGTGGTGCACTTATTATTTTGGCATGGGATGTAGTACATTAGAGAATACCATCTCTCAAGAAAACAAAGAAAATTCGTGTACACGCCTAAGTGCTTTTGCAGGGGAATTAAAAAATAATAATTTTAGGCCTTTTTTACATTTTTCGGCGACACTTAAATTCACATTTTTTAATATCTATATCTACTGGAGTAATCAAAGAACTTTCTTCGCAAAAATGTATGGACTTTTAAAGGGCCTAAATTTACGGACATAAGGGTGGTACGTTAGGTGATAAGAATTGAAATCTGGTGGGAAAATACTAGAAAGGGGTACGTCAATGAAATTTGGAACAAAAACGTCGATATATCATAATTTAAGATCCGACTGAAATACCGATGTAATGACGAAAAATCACCGGCTTTATGTTCGTAAACGTACTGAAGGATTTATGCTCAAAAGGATGTACCTACATTTAGTGAGCGTTACTTGACAAAGAAAAGCGAAAAATAGGAGCTCGTCTTAACATAAAAATATGAAGATTAGGAAAGAAATATTAGGTACCTTTCTTAAGTTGAAAGTAAGATGAAATTATGTTAAGCGGGGTAATTTTCTATACATTATTGGGTAATTTGGTAATTTTCTAGTTCAGCAAATGCTGACAAAAGCGTTTTAAACTAGTCCTAGCGCTACCGCTTATACTAGATACAAATAGATATAGAGAATATAGATATAAACTTATAAAATTTAAGGTATGAATCTACTATTAAGTATTGTATAAATTCTTTGACTTCAACTGTTTAATATCTTCTATCGATGTATTGTGGAACGATTGTTCGTCATCCCCTGACAAATTTGTTTTGGAGAAAACCCGGTTTGGGCGTTGTGCCATCTCCAGTGCCATTTTTCGTCATCCGGGTTTAATTGGTACTGCCAAGAAAGGCTTTTCATAAAGTCCATTTGCCGTTTAGAGATGCCGTGAAGTTGTAGATCGTTCCATTTGAGCTACATATAGCAACAAGACGTACACTTTGCTTGAAAGGATTAACAGGCATTGCCAGAGTATGTACCTACCAAATTTTACTTAAGGTGGTACATTTATGCACAAATACATATGTACATACATACATGCTAAAAAGGGCGAAAATCCTTGCACGATTAGAAATCCAAATCCATTTCTGTCGTTAAATAAACAAAAATTCCATTTCTTACAAGCCAGTCGTAGAAAATAAAAGATATCAAATATGTACACATTTATGCATATTTCGATAAAATATAGATATGTGTGTGTGCATATACACATACTCCACCCGAGTGACATAGTGTAATTCCACAAGTACTTATACTTGATTTAACAACAAAAAACGAGCAAAATACCACAATAATAAAAACAAATATCTTATGCGCACAGCAAGAAAAAACATACAAACACAAAGTTAAAAATAAAAAAGAAGCAAAACAAGTAAACAAAAATAAGAAATAAGGCATGAAAAAATAGAAATAGAAATAAATTTTGTGGTCGCGGCCCAATGAAATAACTGTATTTAAATGGGCGTTACCAAACACCACCGCCAGTCGATATAGTGGCAACAACAACACTGGTATGTAGCAACAATCATGCAACACAGTCACAGTGGCCATAGCCAGTTCTGCCACCGACTAATAATCACTGCCGCAGGCACAGGCACGCTTGCCCCTTTGTATGCATGTGTGAGTGAATAAGAGAGACAGAGAGAGAGAGAGAGCGCGCGAAAGAGCGCGTCTGCATAAGAAATTGCCATAACTTATAGGAGAGCCAGTCGCTTTCAAAAGTATTCATTCGTATGGTTTTCTGCCACTCAACTTTAACTGCCCACCCCCAACCCACCTCTCATTTGCACCTACATTTGCCCACATTTGAATGCGACCGTGATCCACGTGCTAACTCCATTTTACCCTATTATTTTAATACTCGCACATACATACATATGTATTATTTTATAGTAGAAAACTAGAACTGTGTTATACCCGTTGCACATATAATCAAGTCCCGGTTCTAAAGCCATAAAAAAGTTTTAAGTTTTTTTCTTGCCTAGTTAATGAACTGAAAAACTTTAGATTGAGCGCCAATTTTGCACAACTAGAAAATTTAATCCCAAAAAATTTAACTCTGACTAAAACTTTTTAATAAATACAGGGGAACCTCGCTAGTACGAACATCCAACAATGGAAGGACTTGCGTATTCTACAGTTCAGATTGATTTCAATTCTACATATGAAAAACATTTTTTTAACACACTTTCAAGTTTGAAAAGAAACGTACCACTAATAACAAAGAAACATGCCGCAGCTTAACCTAACTTAAATACTGTCACTCAAAAAACTCTAAAATGTAGATATCTTACATATATGTTCACATTTGACTTTATAAGTTCCAAGTTACGTTAAGTTAAGTTGACATAATCTGGCTTTAAGAACTACAGTCTGCAAAAACCTATGAAAACTCATTGGGACGTTGTTTGGATAATTGCATTTTGCAGATCATACCGCATTTATCCCATTTAATGGTTGGAGGCTACAAC